ATAGCAGGCGACTGACTGGGTCGAAGCTCAGCTTCCAGCTTCCACAGCCGGCTCAGAAGTATTGGAACGAGGTGCACAGACTCATTAAGAAGGGGCTACCACGTCGAATACTTGCTTACTTAAAGCATATTTACTTAGAACAAGTTTCAATGTGCTTATGAGCAACAGTAGCGGATTGACTAGATTAATACCTGTATAGTATGTGCCGAATATGGTAAGACGATTCGGCCATTCTAGGGGCAAATAAGCAGGAAGAGGGAACCGTACAAAGGAGCAGTGTCCTTCTATTAAGAGCCTATGAAAACCACCAGAACGTAAAAAAGTTCTACTTCAGAATAAACCTGGACAGGCAAATTTTCAGTATATTCTTTTCAAAATAAAAAAAAACTCTTCGTCAAAATGGTTTGCAGTGTTTGTAGGCTTTGGTATGCAGTTATATTCACATTTCTATCGCTACAACAACTTCATTTTATTCCGTTTGATAGTTATACGCATACCTACCCATTCGAGGAGATTTTTTTATAGGAACTCTGTATAAATGATAGGGCCGAAAATAGATTTCGCAGCTATTCTTCTCGATCTACATCGGATGCGACTAGAGCTCGAAAGGTGCGTTTTCACAAAATATTGGCTTGGTCTCTCTTTTGAAACGTCAGCCAGGTTTCTCAGTCGCTGGTATATTTTAACTGAGAGCTCTTCCAGTAACAATAATATGTGCAGACTACAACATAAACCCAGATTAACTTTTGTCGTAACCTCCTCTTTCGTGTAATACCGCCAGTAATTTAGACCTAATGCCTCGTAGCTTCCTTAAACGCACGAAACCATAACAAATATTTGTACTGCGCAGGAAGTACCCATCGTGTATTCCAATCTCAAGGTAGGGACGATCAGGAACGTCAAGATAGAACTCAACATCCATATCATAGGCTTCCCCGAACACGTGGACGACAGCAGTGCAAACCTTGGATTGGTGCCATACAGTAACATATGATATCTTGAATTCGAGAAAAAAAAACGAATTACCCGTTTACCCGTTGTTTCACCCGTTTTCTCGTTTTCTATTATGAACCGAGTTTCTTGGAAAGTGGATTTATCATTCAGCTTAGCTCAACGAGCTTTACCAAACCACATGATGCTTTGGAGATAAGAAAATCCTTTTCTAAAACGGCTTGGTTTCACGGCAAAGTGTTTTGTTGGTTTGTGGATTATAGCGATGGAATAGNAAAAAAAAAACGAATTACCCGTTTACCCGTTGTTTCACCCATTTTCTCGTTTTCCATTATGAACCGAGTTTCTTGGAAAATGGATATATCATTCAGCTTAGCTCGACGAGCTTTACCAAACCTCATGATACTTTGGAAATATGAAAATTCTTTTCTTAAATGGCTTGGTTTCACGGCAAAGTGTTTTGTTGGTTTGTGGATTATAGCGATGGAATAGTCAAACAATGCCAGAATAGAAGCAGAGCTCAATATAAACTTTCCGTCCGATTTGTTCACGAATTCACATCACTTGTCACTTTGTTATGTAGCCCCAATATCAGCATGCGGAACTCTCTGAAGGGTTTGCCTACCTTCTGATTCCTTATCAAACCGAATCAAACGGCTGCAATGCACGCAGATCAATTTCCCAGAACAAATTCCATCCAACGATGCATGAATCATCTCCCAGTGAGAATCCTGTTTTGTTTGTTTAGGTTTCAACCTCTTTTTTTTCTTGGCCGATCCTCCAAGTGCTGGATGAAAGCATAAAATTGACGAAACTGGTGCGCAGTATAGGGAGGAAAAGGCAAGGAGTCACTTGTTAGGTATGCTAGACCCAGTGGCAACGATTCTCGGCACGGGTCCCCACCATTGCGGGGGTAAATTTCTCAGGTGTGTATACTCTGGTCACACCCATACCGCAATTTCGGGCACTTCTTGTGATGGAACTCCTCTGGGTGGATACTGCACGCAGACCATCCAATCTGTTCAGCCATTTGAGTCACCTAAATGATGGACTCAGTTGAATGGATAAAAGCTATCATTTCTATGCCAACTCGCTCTCACAAATCATTGTGTGGCCCACATAATATTGCCACTGGAATTCCAAGAACACAAATCAGGCTTAGCTTCATACATCCCCAAGAGAGCCACTTGATTTACAGCGGAATTTTCCTTCAATTGAACTGTACCATCCAAAGAATGCCCTGCCCTCTGTTTATTACCCATTTGACATTTCCTTTCCAGGAATAGGCGGACTATGAACTGTGATTGGTATCTGATATTAAGGTGATGAACAGGGGATGTGTCCAATGACTGTTTGGTTCGACAGTTTGTCACAAATGAACAAGAATATGATTCACTTCTACACTGCACTGACAGCGTTCATTGCGTAACCTCAGCGGCCACATTATATGCCAAGCCTGACGGTACATCGACTGGTCACCTTAGTACACTGTATAGGCCACATGGGCATTCAAAACCCCAGTACGATTCCGAGTTTGAATCAAACGCGGGAGCGCATTCCAGGGAAGGGTTTATCTATAGCCGAAGACTTCAAAATTCACTTCTCTTTGTTGTCCCCGTAAACTCGGTTGAAAACATAAAACAAGCAACGTGGCTTTTTCCAAATCCCATTCATATGCTTGTACTTGGCCACGAGTTGGGCTGTCTCCAAACAATCACGCGCTCGTGATACGTGAAGCCGTAGCGACAAAACGAGAGGGTGTGACTTTTGAGGGGTTGGCTGAAGCATTCAGACGAGGCACTACAACAGTGATATGGTCTGATAATGCGGCTGCTTTGATAGGAATTTCACGACACGATTTCATGGCAGAGTCATAGTCGTAGAGGTCGAAGCTCATAGATCGTCTTACGAAAATAAGATAAGGAAAAGTAGTAAGCGGATGTATACTCATCAATCAATCATAATCAAAACTCATCCCGTGCCACTGGAGGAATTCGACAAGAGAACATTAATACCTTACGGCTTAGAAACTAAGAAATAGTACGGCGGTCCCGTTCGGTATGCTGAAACTTATGAAGGACTGAACGGAGACGAGCAGTTGGATCGGTCAGGGTCGGTGGCCTCGCTGCACTTTAGCCTTTCTTAGTGGCGTACTCCTGCTGTTTTTATCCGAAGTGATTGAAAATGCGTATAACAAGCTGCAGATCCATGTGTAAGCCTTGGTAATATCACTCACAGATGTTGAATAAGAAACAAGGGCGGCTCTCATTGTCAGATCATACTCTGGAAAAGGAGCACCAAACAGAGAGAATCGCCTAACTGGACCAAATCAGTCGACAGAGTATGGCCTTTTCTGTACGATTTTTTGATCAATACTCTAACATCTACCAGTAATCAGTGTCTTTTAAAATTAGTTATTCATCCTGTGGGTTATCATGAGCCTCATGCAGCTCTCATACCTAGCAGACCTTTAAGCTCTGCCTCCTTACAAGACTGAAAATCCAATAATATTTATTCATATCACAGCGGTACTGTTCTGAAATTTTCGTAATCTATTCAAACCATTAACGGCTATCATATCTTTGTGTTAACGCTCCGGTCTGTCAATAAAGGCGCATCGAGATAACCGGCTCTTCGAACTACTAACCGCCATCTGTCGCTCTGTCCATTGGGGTAAAACGGTTGTGCAAAAAGATCTAAAGGCCTAATTACGACCAAACTAAGATCTGGGAAGGTGTTACAGAATGTGTTTGTTGTATGGCATGTACAAATTCGATTTCCTTACATGAAAACAAAATTTCACATTATGATGTATCGATGCCACCAGACCGAAAGCACATTGCTGAAGAACGAGATAGACGTGCCCGTCAAATCCCGGGTGTTCGACGTTGTTCTGGGTTTGGGGCACATCTTAGCTAGTCGCTTTGCCAACAATATTTTGGGTAGTTGCCTTAATTAGTTGTCTCGCCTCTCCGAGTCCAACGAACTTTCCTACATTCATGATGCTCAGCAGATAAGGGAATGCCCACTTGACAATTGAACCAGGATATGCAACATCTTGACACCTGGCTTCTAAATAGTTTCTGTTTCTTCTTCCCAGCGTTGAATCAGTCGAACGGTCCATTGTTGCTGTCAGCTTTTGCCACTTTCTCGATCTAAGACACCCTATGGGGTTACCTTGGCTTAAAAGAGTTCCTTTTCTCCATCCACCCTCCATCTTACCTTGTGAACTCCTCTTGGTAGTTTTCTATGAGCTTTGGAATCCATTGCAGACGATCTGATGTTTTTATAGATTCCCTTATCAGATGATCTCGTGTTTTTCGCAGCACTTACTCACACCATCAGAAGCGATGTCCTCTCATCTTCAACTGGACGGGAGCTGAGATGACTATCATGACGCCTCTGTTTCTAACCCGATTAAGTGGCGTCTAATCGTAGGCTCATGTTGAAATCCTCATTTTGAAGTTGCTCTTCATGATTCTTGCCTAGTGACAAGCGGTCGCTGCCGTAGAGCATCGTGGGCCCCTACACTACTCTGTGGACCTTTCTTTTGAGCGGCCTGGAGCACCTCTGTTAGCAGAACGTAACCAAACGCTTTCTGTGTACTTCATCCATACCGCGTGTCCTCGATTCACAGTCTCACTTAGGATACCGTCAGCGGCTAGGCGACGTTCCAGGTATCGAAAGCCTCGTATTGTTCAACGACTTCTGCTTTACTGTCTACGTTCGGCTATGCGCTCTGCCCTGAACTGAGAAACTTGGCCCACTTTAGGTTTTTCCAGCGCGCAGTCTCTACTATTCTACAGGCAATCCAGAGCTTTTTTACTACTATCCAGTATTAATGTAATGTCATCCGCACAGATGATGGTTTTCAGTGTTCCCTCCCTAAGTCCTTACTTGATGACGTCCAGAGTTAGTGATTTCTAGCCTGTAGGGACTCAAACGTATCAAACTGAAAACTGGCAATGGTAATGCTCCAGCTCGAGTTTCCGAACTAATTGACCTGAGGGCAAGTTACCGAAACATTTTCATTCAGCACTTCGTTCAGGTCCCTGGAAACATGCGACGAAACGCTTCTGACCCGTCAGGGTAGTGTCCGCGGACGAAAGCTGCACGTATTCAACACGGTACGAATGATGCGGATAAGAAGTCAATGGCAGGTTTGTTTCGAAAGTAAAATAAGCTTTTGAAGGTTGTTCGCCTGCTACAAGCATGGCCCAGGGATCGATCTTATTAGTGCCACAGTCGGCTGGGGAATAAAGGTACCGTCCCGTAGATGCTAATCGCCAGAAGTCCTTGTACAGGCCGAATACACCCTCAAGACACCAACACAATGCTAAACAGAAGTCGAATGCGAGGCGTATTCCGGAAAAAAAGAGATTGATCAAATTTAAAAGGGTTTTCCCTTACATTTTAGGCGTAGCAGCAAGTAGTGAATTTTGGTAACGGGTATTTGCAAGCTTTCTTGAACTTCTGATTCGAATTAATTCAAACTCTTCAATTGTGGAATACCCGTTTTCAATTTTTACTCTCACCTTTCCAATTTTTTTAGAGAGACTATACCCGAGAGGAGATGAACAAAGTCGTTGTCTACATTACAACATGTGGAATATTGAGAAGAGTCTGGGAACGATGTCGGGATACGGTAGCGATTTTTTCATCCAACGATCGGGTTTCAGCCAAATTATTTGGAATTCAGGTTGAACTTTTGAAAGCACACAAAATCAAAGCCGAATTTCGTGATCTCAACATTCACCCTTCATACGTGGAGGAGTTGGCCGATCGAATGCGTTTGGATAAGGTTGTTTCTCAGGAGGAATTTTATCCCTTATACCCTTATCCAATTTATTTTTCTCTTCGGAATTTCGAACATCCAGAGCATATTAGTTCTTAGAAATATAATTTTTACAGGAAGATCGAGAATTGGTCTACGACAGTCTGCCGATGGTCTACGTGAATGGGAAATATTTCGGGGTACGTTCTTCCTTTTTTGAATGCATTCTTATTTGTTCTGAACAAATCAAAGCGAATTTTGCTTTGAATGAAATGGAACTAATTAATCCTTCCACCTTAAAAGGGATATAACTCCTTCACAGAGTCCATTCCCTGCGATACTTCTAAGCGATACATTTGAGGGGAGGATGAGAACTTCCAAGGTCATCATGTACCAGCTCACTGCTCAACTAATTGAATGTCGGGTCGCGTCTAGGTAAAAAGTGTCAACAATACTATGTAAATACTAATTCCATTGTAAGATCAACCAAAAGGGGCAGGTATGGACTATAACCTGAAGTGGCAAGAGGTATATCGGTTTTATAGCCCAAACCTGTGGCCGAGAAACTCGTGAAAGCTCCTCAGCCTTTTCAAAAGGGTTGTTCAATCTCTTGGCTTCTGGCACATGGCTTTCGTTCTCAGGATAGCAGTAAAAAGATGATCCGTCCGATTATGTTCTACCGTCAGGGCTTTGCTATATAGTTGCTTCTTCTTCTAATAGCTTTTATAAGAAGCTGCTTACTCTCGACTCTTAAATAGGCTGAGGCATCTTGATTACAAATAGAATCGTTCCCCAATATTCCGTGATTGAAAGCACTTCCGAAGAGTCACGTTGGCTTTCAGAACACCGTCACCATGTGCCCTTTTTATCATTGTTCGCCGACAATCGGAAACGTTTGTACTAAAGAAACAACAGATATGAAGAGCACGAGATGTTGTTTTGACCTGCATGAGCTTTGACGAGTCACACTAACCGACAAGGAGCTTAGGAATGGAATAATACCTTATACTAAACCGAATAAAACTAAACCGCAACTTTTGATGGGAGAATCCCGAGCGTTCCAATTTATAAACAAAAAAATGAGCTGGGAACATAGACCTGGGAATTTCCTTCCATATAATGATCTTTATCATGTTTGAATTAAGGTCGGAAACTCGTTACTCGTAGAAGTGGGGGCTGTAGGGTCTGGAGACATTCGTATGTGGGAATGAGCCAGTAGGTTTGACAGGCCCAACAATACGGACAGGGCTCGCTGTCAAAGGGTTCGAAGAATGATTCTGCTGAAAACACATTCGGCGCCAAGACCTAGTACTGAAAGGAACCTGCTGAGAAGCACTGAAGGGAGAAAGCCGCTAAGTAATGTCTTGGCTACAAAACGCAACGGGTTAGGAAAAACTTCAGTTCAGGGCTTGAAAAGAAAATGTAAACAAAGGAAAACTGATATGAACCCAGTGAACAATCTTCTTATGAGAAGAATTTTCTTTTCAGAACGATGCCACACTGATTCAAGAAAACGAAAACAAGAACCTCGTGGAAATTCTGAGAGATTTTCAGGTAAATGTGGCTGAAAACCTTATTTAGATTTAATTATTTGATTAGTATAATCCAAGTTGGTGCCCTTCTCTGTTCCAATATGTACCAGACCTGCAAACTGGTTCAACCTCTGTCTAAATGATGAAACAATGGAGTATTTGACAATAAACAACCTGAGTGGCATGCGCCTTGCACTCATCTACATCCAAAATTGAAAAGCCACTTCGGAAGGTGATTTAGCTGAAGACACGCCAAGAAGTAGTTAACCTACCTGATGGCTGCGCCTTATTATCCTCATAATGAGACTTTTACTCTCATAATCTAGGAGGGTAAGTCGAAGCTTTTCCATACAGAGATTTTGTCCTCCAGATCCATGTAGCGTCGTTATCAAACATGCTTCCGCTGTCAAATTACAGTTGACTATTCCCCAAAGCCAAATGAGCCCTCCAGCCCTCCATGGTTGATCTAGTCATACCAGGCTCATCCGGGGAGCACGAGCACTGACTCATACCTCTGTTATACTCCGCAGGTCATTTCAAAAAACGAATGCATATCCCTATGCTGCTACGATTCTGAATAAAAACGAATATGGCGAGGCCATCAGTAAATAAATTATCCTCATCGTTTTAACAGAGAAAACCCAAGTGTGATAGTGGCTGTAGAACCATAACCTTTATAACATTCGATCACTGATCAGATATCGCATATATTCTCATACTAGCGCTTCCAGGGTCGACAGGAGTGCAACATGTGCTATGGCTCAGGTTACACCGTCTGCCCTTTCTGCAGAGGAGGCAAGAAAGCAAAAGAAACATTTCGTGTTCGACTCCGCTGTGCTCGATGCGATCGGAATGGTATCGCGCCCTGTCAGAATTGCAATAACCCAAAATTTTAATTTGCGCTACATGCAACTCTCCGAAACGTATATCAAGTCCTCTACTAAGCCCTGCGGGGTTTGATTACGGGTGTCACTTGGTTCACTACCTTGTGCTCATGAATGTAGAGTTGAACGATAACGAAAGAACAAAAACAAGGACGAGGGATAATCACTACCGAAATACAGTAAGCAGGTGAACTGGAAAATATCGAAAAGGAGCCCCATCAATTCATGCACGTTTGCTGAAGCTGGCCAAAAGGACGAAATAAAAGGCTGATGGCATTAAGGTCTCTTGATGGGTTTTGCACACATATGTATATATGTCACGAAATTGCATCTCATTCTTACGAAATAGGAAAAGAATTGTTTGATCGCTGAACTTCTTTGAATTTTGTCCAATCTGCCGAGAAGAATAAATATTTCCCCATGAGCATTGTGCATTTTTACCGGCTGTGGTGCAGTAGGATGGAAATTGCCGCGTCGAGGCGAGAGGGATGCCACGCGCGAAGGGATGTAGCAGAATGCAGCAGCACGTAAGAACAGGAACAAAAAACAAATTATAGAATCATGCCTAAAGTAATTATTGTAAATTGATTGATCTGTATGAAGAACGCTGAAGC